AGTCTCCTACACTTAAGAACCTATATTAAAGCAAAGATAAGATAGTTTTGTTTCATGGATTGCTGCAAAAGTGCGTTGCTCATTAGATCTCTGTCTTCCGCGAAGCCAAAAAGGCACGGTAGGTTAAAATACAAAGAACTCGCTATTTTAAGAATATAAGAAGTTCAAATTTACTTTAAAGTACCATTTATATCATAACCTGTTCAAGTTAAGTTCAAAAACTCAGGATACACAAACATTACATTTTCTCCGCTAGCAATCTTTAAAATAAGAAGGTATTCGAATTACCTTTCRTGGTGGTGGAAACAACATTCATTCCTGTTGGCGAAGTCACCGTTGTAAACATCTTTGAGATCTTTCTTTACCTGTAGATAATGATAAGTAAAGAAACGTGCAATGAGGCAGGTGCRACTGGTTTTTACTTTATGAGTCTAACAATTCACAGTCCATCTCTTTTAGGCAATGACCGGGTTCATCTCTTTTCGGCAATGACCGCCTGACATTCTTGACAGTTTTTTGAAATTAAGCTTCAAAGACGAATTTCAATATCAATATTTTACCTCGGTAGATCACCAATTAAGATGATTATAGATGTAATATATACAATATGAGCGGGCGATCTGTATGTAATATACAACTCTCTTCATGGGCTATGATTTCTATTGTGTTTTGCCTTATGAATATTAATGAGTTTTATAATACTAGATATTTAACTTCAAAAGGAGAAAATATGTATTATATTGGGATTTGACATCTGCCATCACATAATTTTACAAAATTCAATAAAGATTCAGGATCTTTGAACAGTAAACCATTTTGTTCACTTTGTTCTAATGCTTTTCATGCTTTCAAATTCAAAAGAACTAAAAAAAAAAAAAATTAAAAAAGCAGATGAACTCAGCTGTATGTAATGTACCTTTTACCCCGGCATATTCCTTGGTATACCCATGATGCATTGCGTATTTTTTATGCAAGAATGTCTGACATTGAGCTATTCGAACGCTCAAAATTTGCCGCAGTCTCTTCTATTTTGGCGTCCAGATTTGACCGCATGGCTAATTTCAATACAACATCACAGACATCACAGCGGCCATCTTGAAGGAACTTCAACAAAGGATTTTACATTAGTATTGTTCATTGCTTCAAGATGGCCGTCGGTCTTTTTTATATCTTTTGCTCTCATGAGAATGGTTGAAAACCATCAATCGTAAGTAAGACCAGGGTCTTAATGGGGGGGTCTCAATGTCGTTAGTCAGTTAAAATTTCAAGCATTTGTCGGTAGTCAGTTAAAATTCTAGACATTTGTCGGTAGTCAGTTAAAATTCTAGACATTTGTCGGTAGTCAGTTAAAATTCTAGACATTTGTACTGTCGGTACAATGTAGTCGGTTATTCAAAAAAAGTTGTTGATAAACATTAAGTTTGAATGCATCTATCAACAGAATGCTTTCTAAAATGCCAACAGTTGGCCTTGAGTCTTTATTGGTCAATTGGATGCCATTCAAAGTCTTAGTGGGGCTCATCAAAACTTCAAAAAGCCAATCCGAAGCAAAATTTATTTTTCCGCTGAAAACCTCGAATGTAGTTGCTTGAAAAATACAAAAAATAACTTGTATTCAAGAAGCTAATATCTTTGAATATTGCCTAAAAATATTTATTTTAAGGAAAATGTCGCCAGTCAGTAAATATGTTCTTGTCGATAGTCAGCAAATTTTGTTCAAATTTGTCGCTAGTCAGTTGTTATTTTGTCCATTTTTGTCGCTAGTCGGTTAACCCCATTCAGACCCTGTAAGGCGTCTMAGACCTATTGTCCGGTCTGCCCTTTCCAAAAGTTAACCTTTTGTATGCATCTAAAGGCCCGTTTACACTTCTAAAGGCCCGTTTACATTCTCGCGGCGATCGATCGTCGCGCGACCATCGCCTGAGTTTCGAACATGCTTGAAAATTGACTGCAACTTCGCGGCGATGTTCAATCGCCGCAACAATCGTAGGGCTAGCTGTTTACACGTACGATTTTATTCGCGCGATAGCAAAGTGGCGATTATCGCGCTGCAAAATCGCAAGTTTAAACGGGTTTTAATAGATCGGGRTCTCTCTTGCTATCGCAGCTTTGGCCTGTATTTCTAAATACATGACGTTAGTCTTAAGGCCGATTTAGACGACACAATGTTTGCTTACAACCATCGCATGCAACCTGCGTAAGTCATCCCTACGACATGACTATAATTGTCGTAGGGATTTTAAACAATTGCTTAATAGCTTCACGACAGTTGTAGCCGTGTCGTAAGGAGGACTTACGCAGGTCGCATGCGATAGTTGTAGGGAAAAGTTGTGTCGTCTAAATCGGCCTTTAAATAAAATTGGCCTGACAAAATATATTTACATACAGCAGCTAAGCTGTCAAGAAAAAGTCTTTTTGTTAATGTTGTATTTGAGTTAAAAGCCCGAATTAAAATTAAATTAAAAATTCTTGTTAATGTTGAATTGAGCAGGTGCAGCTGCATGATCAGTTTGCCTTCATCGGGCCGCATAGAAGACGACGAGAACAACTCTTTTCAATCAAAACATGGTTAGATTTTATGGGTATTTTACTCTTCATTACTTTCCTAGCTTTATAACCGAAATCCACGAGTGTTTAATACACTTGATAATTACTTGAAGTGATAGTTTCACCCCAAAATGCGTATGCGCCACAAGGTTAAAAAGTAAAAAAAAATAACTCACTAGGTGACCACGTAAAAAAGCGGAACATCAACATACAGGTTGTCACAAGTCGAAAGTGCTGTTAGTCACACCATACCAAATTAAAAGCCAACATATTATATATTTCGCTAAAAAGCTAGTGGTTTTCGCAGTGTTGACTAACCAATAGCCGACTTGCGAATTACGCATCAATAGTCACATACAAAGGAATCAAGACGAGGCGCCGTGCCAAATACAATAGATTTTTCACAAAAAAGCACGGCGCCTCGTCTTGATTCCTTTGTATGTGACTATTGATGCGTAATTCGCAAGTCGGCTATATGGTTAGTATCAGAGAATGCCGTGCCGTTGTAGTGCTCCTTTTGCTGGTTCAAAACGGATAACCGCTGTTTTATATGACTGGCTGATCTTGCGCAAATGCCTTACAAGAAACCAAAAGAAAGCATGAAAAATAAATGTCCATTTTCTMCTAATTGAGTATTCCGAGTCTCAAATAACGAAAATTTGACCTGATATCTCTTTACTCCGACAAAAAATAAACGCGCCTGACACGTCGATCAGTAAGTTGTTTTACCTACTTTTTTAGGGTGTTAAATGTATCTTTTTTCACTACAAATGTTTCTTTAGAAACACCGACGCAGCTCATTCTAGTTTACYGATAGTTTCCACCAAAGGTTTTCCTGGGCCGTTTGATAATACAGGACTAGCCGCCTCAATTGGAAGTAAAATGGAAGGCTGGGCTTATGAATGCCGACGTCGCTTTCGTTAATTCTCGTAYTGGGCGCACTTTAAATAGTKAAGATGTAAATATTATGTAAGCGTCCAAAATGATGTAAATTTGATCTTARTGTAATGTAAATGATGTACAACAAATTTAGATCATTTTCGGGACACTTACATAATATCCACATCAAATTTACAACCTTTAAAGTGCGCAATTTTTTTTCCAGTATTCGCGGAAGAGAATCTTGTTGACACAAGAAACAGTAGTTAACGCTCTGCCCTTGGCCAGACAGATGTACCTAATCTGTCAATTATTGTCATAGTATACTTCACTTAAGAAGTATTCCGGAGATTGCCTGATCCACGAAATGAAATTACTTTTATGACCGTCAATGGGGGATATATTCAATTATACGATCGAAAATAAATCTTTTTTTAGCGTTCCAATGTTTTCATCAGATCTTCTCCTTCTATTCCGATAATTGATTCTTATCGATCAGACCATGGAAATTGTCTCGCTTTTGTATTATAATTTCAAGTTTTTAAGTCTAATTTTTATGATCAAAAATACAGCATCACACGTTGATCTCAAATTACATCAATTGTGAATGTGAACAAAAACAAAAGCGCGCAATGCATTGTTGGTGAAAAGGAATCTTTGAGACAGAATATCGACGTTGAAACGTCGAGAAATCAAAAACATAAAATCAAAAGTTTATTTCGTTAGTTTTTGCTGTCAAAGTATTTTTGTATTTGAGGGCTTTACTTTGCATATGCGATGACATTAGGAGGACGCTCCTGTTGTTTTCGTAACAAAAACGTCTMTGAGACTATAAACCGTTGYCAACTGACCTAAGTCGTTTATGAAAGCAAGGTTATACTSACAAAGCAACTCGTAAAAAATCATCAATTGGTACTGGAAATCTAGCCAAAAATCTTATGAAAAACCAAAAACCAAAAATCGACACTGACAATGAGCATGCACACTGACCCTGTAAATTTCAGTGCAATGAATGCTACAGTATATTTACATATGGTTTTTATGTACTTTTTATATAATATCGAAATCCATCATATTCAAGCTTATTCAGTTGTGGATATAACTAAGTCTATAATTCGTACTTACCGCTTTTCAGTTGGGTAGCAAGAGTGAGGTGAAGCTCACTTAGAATAGTTTAAGTTAAGTTTTACGTCAGCGGAATCGGCGGAAGAGTAGAAGGAGATTTACTTGAAATAGCTCGTCAGAATCTGCTGTAGCAAAGAGGAAGACGATTTATAACCAATCACTACCTTAATGGCTTAAAGCGAGATGCTCAAATTTCCTATGATTGCTTAAGTTCCTAGTTAATGGAATTAAGGCAATAATAGCCTCCTATATAGTTAAAAATAACGAATGAAGGAAGAGATCTGAATACATGGTCAAAGATACGAGTGYTTTTAACCATCGTCGGGGGACTTTTTGTAATACTTTACGCATACACTACACGCCACACATCAATCAGACGATTGCCATGGCAACACATTGCTAAAACGCACAATGTTTCTTTTGTTTTTGGTAGATGGAAAAGTTTAATTTCATCTCCTCTGTGATAATAAATAGCGCGAGTAGTCTGTTGTTTTAGGAGMAAGTTAATTCAGGCCGGGCACTGGAAAAAATAATTGATTTTCTAATAAAGTAAAAAGAAAAATTGAAAAGAAAAACTTGCAAAATTGCTACTGCTGAATAAAGGAAGTCTTATTTTCAGTTTTTGTCATTGTTATTGTTATTTCAATATTTTTTTTGGAAAAATGATATATTTGTTCATTAAGTCCGGTATGAAGATAGTTTGACGTTTGAATCAGTTTGAATCAGCGTCGAGCTTCTACCATACCAGTCGAGACTGATTCAATACGTCGAGCCGTACGTTCATGTGTCAAATTCAAACTTATTCGTTAGGCGCGATACCAGGATAGAACGACATATCAACCAGGCCTAATTCTCCTTTTGAAAGTCCTCTATATGCTGCCCTTATGGTAATATTTAGCTCATTTGCGCAAGACGGCAGTAGACCCAATTCACGACTTTCAAAAATGGCGCGATGTGTCACGGTCGTCGACCAGGGCACTGGGGACGAAGCACTAAAACGAGGTCTCAAAGGCCAGCCTCCGTATAGTGAGCTTCCATGGTGTCTTGCAAGAGTGTTTTGTTATAAATAACATACCAATACATCTTTCAAACATTTGGACACTGCCTACATACGATCTTCGTGGTGATTTCTTGATGGAAGGCCTTTGAGGTCTCGTTTCCATGATTCGTCACTAGTCCCCAATATAGGCGGACGTGAACTGGCGCCATTTTTGAAAGTCGTGTATCAAGTCACTGAGATTTACTCAACTTTCGACAGAATTTTGTTGCGAAACGGCCCACATCCGGTAGGAAAAACGCAGCCTTATTTTCAATTTGTTTAGCGTTTGATTTTGAACTTGAAAAGTTGTTGTTTTTTTTTCCTTTGGTATCTTAGCTTTCAGCGTCAACAATGGGGCACTGTGCGGCCTGTTTGAATGTTTAAGTTGCAATTTTGAGCTGAAGTAAAAGCGAAAAATTATGAGCTTCAACGACATATTAAGATTATAAATTATGCATCCTATATCTAACGACATTTTGCTCTTTACACACTGATTGATATCTCGATATATCACGCAATGTCTATCCAACATTTTTGAAGTAATTTTTTCATACCTGAGCAAATTAGATAAGAATTTAGTCTCGAAAACGTATCGTTCTCTTTTGCTGTTTGGTAGAAGGTCCTGTTAGCTTRGTCGATCAAAGCGAGCTTATGATTAACGGCATCTGCTTTCAAAATGCATACACATTAGAAGCTGAAATATACCAACTCGAAGGGCTTTTAAAGTCATTCACTTGAACAGAAATCTATATTTATGTCAAAAGCAGAAATCAATTGTTTTTTAGGAAAGGTTGTTATCAATTCCAAATGCCGCCTTTTTGTCGGCTTTGTACTAACAGAGCTATAGCAATTAGGTCTACTTAGTGTGCATTTTGTGATCTTTATTCAGTCCTTTTTTTCAAGAAACTCCTCCTTCTTTAAACTACACGGTGTAGAACGGTATATATAATTGGTGGGGTAGGGGAATATGGGTTCCCATCNACGTTATAACGGTACCGAAATATGCACATTAAAAATGTCACTCCATTTAAAAACGTAAATCGCGTAATAATTACCCGGATTTTCCGATAATGAGCAATATCTTCGCAAACGTAAAAACGAGAGCAATACCAAAAACTTACGTCTAACACTGAAAAAAAACCCGCAATTTAAAGGTTGTATATTCAAATGTAAATATTATGTAAGTGTCCAAATTGATGTAAATTTGATGTAAATGATGTACATCAAATTTATATCATGATTTACAACCTTTAAAGTGCGCGATATTTTCCAGTGAAAATCATCAGAAAAACGTCAAACCGCGAACCTGCGAAGAGACAAGTCCTATATAGCTCTTTCAGAAAACGTTGAGTATGGAAGAGAGTGTATATTCCAAGACGTCCGAAATATTCACTAGAAAAAAATCGCGCACTTTAAAGGTTGTAGATTTGATGTAAATATGATGTAAGTGTCCAAAATGATGTAAATTTAATGGAAATCATTTACATCAGATTTACATCATTTTGGACAGTTACATCATTTTTACATCAAATTTACAACCTTTAAAGCGCGCGATTTTTTCCAGTGATTGCTAGTGGTCGTTCTATTCTTCTCTTTCAAAATACGTCACAGCGGCCATCTTGTAGGAACTTCAACAAAGCCGATTCTCATTAGTAACTATTGTTCATTTCTCCAACATGGCCGCCGGTCTTTTTTTTTAAATTTCATGTGAATGGTTGAAAAGGATCAATTGCCGTGCAAAAGTGTGTGATTTCATCGTTTCAGCGTGACTATACCAGCTCTGTATACAGTCAAGAAATTCAACTTCAACTATAAATGTAACTAGGATACTTAATAAGTTCTATGAGCAAGAATGCATTTGGGGGTGTGCTAATATGGAGGCCAAATATTAAAAAAATTCTAAAAAATTTTCATCACAAAGTTAAAGTTGTCTTCCACTTGTGGTATCGACCTGCTAAACGCTTCCTGGAGGTACCTCATCGATCAATTATTTTCCATTTAAACGAATCGTATAGAGCCAGAAAAATAAGATTACCTAGAAATTAAAAAAAAACGTGCAATAATGTGTCAAAAAGTTGACATTCAGACTTCAAAACTTGATCTCTTTAAAGTACAATATAGAAGATTGTACCAGCTTTTCGAATGGCCACAAAAGATATCGCACAGTTTGATCAATCTATTATTCAATCTGCCTGAACAAGATGGCCACTTAATTTGACAAGAAATTTTATAAATGAAGTTAGTTTTGAATGTATTTCATCGGATGACAGACTCCGCCATCTTGAATTTTGTTTACGAAAACAACAAAGTATTTATTTTAAGTAATTTTTATAGTTTATAAAAAGGTTAATTATAAGATTATACTATTAATAACAAACAATTTCAATAACAACGATGTCTCTCACAGTGAGCAACGCAAAAACTCATTTAAGGAAAAAAGATATGTTTCACGAACATGTCCTCGGGCACAAGAATTGACTTGAGATCGACTTCCTTGTATATTGAATTTCAGATTTGTTTTCTTCCTCTAATTTCATTTGCTCTTTTTTTTCTCACTGGCTTGAGATTGACTTCCTTTATTCGGATGTGGCTTGTGGCTTTTTTTCTTCCTTCCTTGGCTCACTAACTAAAGATGGATTATATTTTGTAGAAATTTGGATGTTTGTAATTTCYTTGATGTTTCCTTGCTCACTGGCTTCAGATTGACTTCCTTGTAATTATTAATTAGATATTTGTTTTCTTCGTGTAATTTCCATGCTTTTTCCTTTCTCACTGGATTGAGATTAACTTCCTTGTAATTATTTGGATGTTTATTTTCTTACTGTAATTTCCTTATCGGCGAGCTCTTATCTGTGACATTTCGAGTAGAATGTCCAAGCAATTGATCTTAAAGTGCAATGCAACTGAAACCTTTTAGAAAATCACTTTTAACAGAAGGCAAATATGAAATATGAAGTTAATCAATGTCTCGAATAAAAAAAGTTGTTTAAATTTTATTTTCTGAGTTAAAGGCATTTGAAAATTGGAAATGCTAATGATAATGACGTCAAGGGAGGCTTCATTAGATATACGAACTTAGAAACAGACGCTCAAAAATGTTTCCATGAACGCCATCTGGGAATAGGGTTATTTCCTACATTGCCTACGATAAATTTAATGCCATGAAACCATTTTTAAGCGACTCCTTCAAAGTTCGTATATCTAATGAAGTCTTCTTTGACG